CGGCAAAATTTCACAATAAATAATAATAATATCTTGTAAAAATTTGAAACATCCTAATCTATACTTGCATCGCGCCTACGATAGTGCTATCGTCCGGATAGCTTGAGAATCGGCTCGTCGTTCTAATGAAGTAGTAATTTCTTTGTTCGAGGAAATCCTGCGAAACCTGTTGACCTTTTTTTTTTTTTTCTTGCTTGTACGATTCATTCGCGTTCATATATACCACTAATATCCAATAGAACTATTTTAAACAGGTCGCTGCACTACCACCGAATTTTTCATTGCTTGTTCTGTGACAAAACTGAATTTTGGTCTTTTAAATTGAAATACCTACATAAGGGGGGCGAAATTTTCCTCCGCCCCGGGCGGCTGACAACCACGGTATGCTACTGGGTAAAAGTAACATTGTCGTAATACAATGCGTGGTGGAATGTGAAAATGCAAACACGGAAAAACAATAAGTACGAAAAACATATGATAAAAACGTGATTAAATACGTTCAATCACGGATATTTACAAGAATTGTTAAAATGAACGACTACCAACTGTAATACATGCACCATAACGGCGACGGAGTTATTGACGTACACTTTGGAAGATACCTGGTATGCAGAGCCTTAACTAGGGTATGGCCAATGTGGCCCCCGCCATAGGCGCCGATTTAAAATAAAGGCGCCAACGAGAAGGTTTCGAAATATTATGTACTGTATTCGAAATTAATAACACAAAAACATTTTTATATTTAAATTTATATAGTATTTAAATGTCATTCGATAATTTTTTTACAATAGCATTTTTTTAGAATAAAATTATTTTTTTAATAATAAAAATTTTAAAGGCGCCATTTTTATTCTTGGCCATAGGCGTCCAAAATCCTAGTTACAGCTACCCCGCGTTTCTTTATGCAGCGAGAGTGTAGCAAAATGACGTCACGAGCAGTGTTGGCCAATTAGAAACCAGTTTCAGTGTGTTCGCTGTAAAGCGCTTCTCGAGCGCTGCATAAAGAAACGCAGCGCTATGCTGATATGTCACGTACTTCTACAGCAGCGGCGCTAATTCTGATGACAAGGCTTTCAGGAAAGTCAATGGGCATCTCAAAATGCATATTAATATTCTCAGCATTCGAATACTGTTGCATCTCTGCGGCCGTACAACTTCCAAATGACGATGTCTGCGAAACGTAGCCCTTCTCGCTAGGAATCGTTCTTTAGCTTCCGACCACGCATTGTATTACGACAATTGTTAATTTTTGCCATATTCGTCATTCCTTAAAATAATAATAATATTTTTCTGAATTTTGGCTTGTATTTGTTTTGAGTAAATGCTTTGCTTCTACACAAAGCATTTAGGCCTACTCAGAACTTATTTACAGGCTTAATTAAACATTTCGTTGCCGAAAACTATAGGATTTGCGTATGTGTAAAATTACTTGAATTGTTTAATTAATTGAAGTAAATCCTATCGAAATGCATCCAGATAATATATGTTTCACTCGATTCCGTGCATTCGAAAGTCATATTAAAATTTTCGGGCGAATCCATGACAGCGCAACGTAAAGGATTGGGATTGCCGTTTCTGTGTTATATTTACTCTATGGTTTTATATACAGTAATGTGGTGTGAACAACTACAACAGTATAACCAGTGCCGGAGTCAAGTTTTTTTGCACCCTAGGCAAAGTTTATAAGCGCATCCCTTCAGGCCGGATGGCCGAGCGATCAAGGTGGCAGCCAACTGCTCAGGAAGACCCAAAATCGAATCCGGACGGGTCGAAAAATTTCCAGGAATTATTCGGGGATGGTCTGTTCGGATATGTCGGGCCCCGTCCGTTACCACCCGCCACTCCATTGTGGGCCTGGCCGAACCCATAGTGGGCTTGCTAAAAAAGGCCCTCTTAACTGAATTTTAAATAGGTAAAAATTAAAATCATTTAGGTAAGCAACGAAAAGGAACCAATAATAAAATAGTGTGAGGGATAAGGAAAAAGAATCGATACTAAATCATATATCATTATTTAATTTAAAATTTTAGTGAAGTGTAAATAAAGCATAGCTTGAAATTTTTCGCCCCTTTATGGCTTGCGTCCTAGGCGGTTATCTAGTTTGTTTAAATTGTAGCGCCGACACTGAGTATAACGTAAACTCTAAATGTAAAAGAACTGGCAGCATTTAAACAGGAAAAAGCATTTGAAAAAAAGTTTTCCACTGAATTTTTGTTACAATTGTTATTTTGACGAATTTATTTAAACAGGGATTTGTATAAAAAATGATTATTTACAGTACAGTATAATATGGCTAAAAGTCACAAACAACAATAATTTTTGGAGGAGTCTTCGCATTCGTTCTTTACAAGAACTTTCAAATCGCCAATTTATTCAGAAACTTCCGTTCTAGAATACCCGTCGAGAGACGGAATTTAATTCTAAACGGAATTAAAAAAAAAAGAAAAGAAATGTTTAATTTTTCGTGGCCGTAAAACCCTCGGGACTCCGTTCCTTTCCATCCGGCTGAACACAGAATGGGTATGAAAAAAAAGGCCCTCTTAATGACCATGGGGTGAAAAGGACGGTCGGATGGTCGAGCG